AAGAAATTGCCGCGCCCTCATTGGCAATGCACCATCGTGATTGGTGGTTCTTATTCGACCATTAGTTTTACCCCTCTTTCGATTTCCCAAAACCGACCAAATTCTGCCATTAGTTTTAGTGGAATCCCCATGGAAAATATTTTTTGTTTTCAACATGGTGGTATCAGCCTCCACGTATATTCGTGAAAAAGCAACCATAACCTATTTAACAAACAACAAAAACAACAATGAACGTTTCGTTTTATTATCAACAAATATCTGCATTATTTATTCGATTTATATACCTGGTTATCTACATTTATGCGTGTATCCATACATATATGGAAATATAATTAATAAAAAAATGGTGTCGTGTAGAATTATCTCTGTGTAAGTTGAATTTTGATAGTTCAATCCTATAAAATAAAAAGTAAGTGTTGTTTTTTTTAAGGACGAATATACATTTGTATTTGATTACTTGTCAAAAAAATATTCTAACATTTATCTCTAGCAACATCTATCTTGATAATAAATATTTTTTTAAAACTCTACCAAGAACACACCAAAACACACACACACACAATATAGACAGGATATATTCATATTAACTGAAACATAATTTATCGAAGTATATGAAATGTATTCTCTTTTTATTATCGCAAAAATGAATCGTTGCAATACCAATCGTAAAAATGAATGAAGTTGTTATTATTGGATTGAATAGTAAATAGTACTAATGTTCTTAATAATCAAACAACTTGTGTAATAAAATTGTAATAAAGATCAAAAGGATTTGGACTAATGATTATGCTAACTTATCACGAAGTTTGATTAGACGTACGCGCATGTTATACATATTGTTTTGTTTTTACCCTTTTCTATAATTATGCAGATCTGAACGATAATTAAAATAATATACGTGGATAAAATAAATGATTATAAAAGGTAAACAATAAAAATAATAAATAAATGACTAATTTAATTTTGATCTTTTTGATTGTACGTGTAATATGTATTTGATGTCAACTCTTGAATAATTTCTAATGATAAGATGTTTGATTGATGCTACTAAAATTATCGTACAATCAGGACCGAAATAAAAGATGGTAGGAATCTATCTAGATATTAATCTACGTATTTGAATCGATTGGTAGACCTTACAATTATATATATCACACTACGCAATAAGTGAAATCAAGAGATTCGAATTTTTCTATTCACAATACTTTAATATATTTAATGTATATTACGTAAATACCCATATAACATAAAAACTTTCTAAAAACTTTTTAAAACATTTCTTTAAAAAGTTTTAAACCTTTCAAAAAGGTTTCTAAAAAATCTTTCTACAAGGTGAAAATGTTCGCGTTCAGAGACTTGCAAAAGATTACTCTATCAGTAAAATATATTAGAAATGTTTTTAAAATATTTTTGTGTAAAATCTTTTATGAATCTTTTTCAAAATATTTTAAAATGATGCCTGCAAGGTTATTGAAAGATTTTTTGGAAGTATTTTACGAAACTTTCACTGAAAGATTTCAAAACCTTTTGTATTATGTGGATATATATTAGATAGACCGGTAAGTAATGTCGTTTCTACAAATGTCAAATTTTGTATATTTTTATCAAAAACCGATTGAATTTTTATCAATTTGATATTAAAAATTTGCATACTAGATGAGGAAAGGTTGTTGATAACGAGGTTGATTATATTATTGACGAAAAATATAAATTTATTAGAAATTTATTCTTTTGAATTTAAGGTTAGAAAGCGACGTTACTTTCTGGTCCATCTAATACTTTTCTTTTCATGATAAATGATTTTCCACTTACGTTATTAACAATCAAAAGTTTGAAATTATTCTAAAAAAACAAAATTCGAAGATAACTTTCAAAAATAAATATTAATTTGATCAAAAAACTAAATTTTTTTTCTGTTAGGTTCAAAATTTATCTACACACGAATGATAAAGAAAAATAATTTATAGTTTGTACACAAGTTTATAATGCAATTGCAAATTACCAAATTACTTTTTAACTAAACTTTCAATCATTTATGCATAATATTTCAATTACATGAATATAAATACATTCATTTCAACGAACAGTATTATATTGAATTAGAAAATATATTTTTAATCATGAACAATAATATTTCGTAAAAATGATACGTTACAAAAAAAAGGAACAAACACAGCAGACACAGAAGCATTACAATTATCGTTTGTATTATTCATTTCTGTGATCGTTATTCGAACTTATCGATTTTGCAATACAGTACTTTAACGTAATCATGAAACGAACTACGATAATAGATTTTGTTTTACCAAAAAATAAAAAAAAAATAAAAAACTCGTCATAAATGATTTAGAAAAAAAAAAATAGAGGAAAAAAATATACAGTTTAATAAAAAAAGAGAAAACCAATACGATTAGAAAAAGGCAATGACTGTATTTTTCTTTCTCGTTTTTCAAAAAAAAAAAAAAAAAAATTCCACACGATTCACGGATGACGTATACAAAATATAACAATGTATGCATTTAGAATCGATAGGACGATTCGTTATCGTTCAATTTAAAAAAAAAAAACCGGTCATAAATTCGCTTACGTTGTCAAGATACTAAAAGTAATTTAGTATCGTGTCTGAGAGTATTATCTTTATAGTTTTATTAATTAACTTATTTATTATTCCATTTTATTTCGTTCGTTGTGGTACGTACCAACAACAATTCCAGATAAAAATATGATTATAATGTTAATTTTCTTTCTATTGTACAAATACCTTCTACCTCCACCCTCTCAAACATGAAACCAGTTATTAATAACAATTAAAAAAAAAATAAAATAAAAAAGCAACAGACTCTTAGCGTGCGTATCTTTGCGTTACGATCTGTTTTAACATTTTCCGATAATAATCGTTAAAACTTTGTTTTTATTATAGTCAACTAACTCCTTTATTTATCATGAATATAAAAAACTATCCGTGTAACCAAAAAAAAAAGAAAAAAATAACAAACAAACGAACGAACGACGTTCATTTTTTAAATAAATCATCTTACTCACAAATATTACGATGCTGTTTTTCGTTCCATTAGAAATGCTTCTTTTTTTCTTTTGTTTAATTTAAATCACAACAACATTAATCATTTAATTCGATGATAAAATTGATGATACACATTTTTCTTAATGGGGGGGGGGGTTGGTATTGAAGATAGATAGGTGCAACAGGTCAAACGTTCATCGAGTAATGTTTTTAAATGACGAAGAATGGAACGCACCTGCTACGAACCTAACTGTAACAACGTGGAATAACGAATGAAAGGTAACACTTTTGATTTAAGAATAAACGAGCCCCTCGAGTCTGCGCTATGTGCGTACACGTCCGATCTAATAACTATCTATACTACTTATCGCGAAATAGAAAATAACATTATACCTTTATTATATATTTTCCATTATATATAGTACAGTAATATAGTTTAGTAATAATATACAGCAATATAATATAATATAATATATATATATATATATATATATATATATA